CTTACAAAAGACCAAAGAATTTCGATATTCTTAAAATTCTCTCACCATAAAACCTTACCATTGGTGTTCGTTATACTAATATATTGTACTCTATACCCAATGTTAAAACATAGCTTGGTGACCGAATGTTCTATTCACTATCTTAAAACATGGGGGTCACCACGGACACCCCCCCCCCCCCCCCCACCTTAACCTCCAACATCTTCTAATAATGTGGATTCCTGCATCTGAAGTTGTTCTGGCATAGATAACCACTCCATAAGCCATCTCGGATTCATCGCAGAAGAGATGAAGATAGACTTGCTGAAAGCTGTCCTTGGCCAAGTAACGAGGTTCTAGCGGGGAAGACAAAATTTTTAAGCTATCCATCCAGTGTTGGAATTGGTTCGCTATAAGTGCCCCAACATCGTCATCCCATTCCAAATCCCCCTCGGATTGGTTAAATTGGGCACAAAAGATGAAAAACTCGTTTTTGACTCAGTTTCATGTGTAGTCGCGTTGAAGCAATCTTGATAAATGCAACTGACAAAGATTTATTGCTCTTTGTTTTCTTTTTCAGCCTTTTTCAAACATCCGGAGTTGACAGAGTGCGATTTGGGACCTCGTGAAATCGGTCTTTATTTAATTTGATCATTGACAAAAATCTAAGCGAATCATTGGGTATCTGCTGGGGTCCGAATGCACCAGGTCCTGGTTTCTAGATGTTCCTCTTTCCTTGTCACCTGGGAGGCTGCACTCGGACACATTTTTGACTCTTTCGGCAACAACTGGAATTGCTTCAAAATCAACACTCGAGACTTTTACTGGCTTGATGAGGTTTGCAGTGCCTTGGGGCATGCCTATAGGCTTCAATGAGTCCAATTTATCCATACACCGGTACTGGAAACAATCAGAAACTGGATGCCAAGTTTTGACGCTGTGGTCATTTTCTGCTAAAACTAACTCCTTGTTTTCCTGCAAATTGTCGGGTATATCGCTCATGACAAGCTTGCTGTTGAGAGATTACTTCCAAAATACTTCTTGATTTTGTCATAGAACCCCTCTGATTTGTTGATTGCAACCTCACCGTAGCTTGTCAGTCTGGTTCATGTGTCTTAATTTGATCGAAATGTCGGATACACTCGAGTTCGTTGGATTAGTGTTGGGATTCTGGAGACGGAGGAATATCTTCAACTTCCCAGAATCTGTTAAATGTGGTGGAGTGGCTGTCAAGAAAGTTAATTCCATATCATGGCGAGTGTATTCGTGTTGTGACTGTGTGGTCGGTATCAGCGACACCTGAGACTGTCCAGCCAAGGATCGTGTCGGTTTTCAGCTACTGTGAGCTTTCTTTTTAGTGTTGAGAGCTTTATAATCTATGACTTAAATGTAACTTGGTTCTGAGCTCAATTTAAAATTTAATATTTTGAGTGAAAATTGTGGAAAAATCCATATTTTTTTAATCAAAATTTTGTATCATTGTCTCAACATGAGTCCAATTAAAATAGAATTTGGGCTTTATTCTCAATTCTGCACAGAATGAAACAAGGACATTTTACAACTAGATTAGATCTGATGCGACAAAGTACTAACCAAAAGCTGAGATTTCTGCAATTTTTTCCAAAAAATCAAAATTTTTGCAATTTTTTCCAAATACTTGAAATTTTTGCGTTTTTTTTCTCCAAAAACCGTGTTTTTTTTTCAACGTTTTAGTAGGTTTCAGCATATTTTCAGGTAGATGTTTAAAAAAAAAAGAGTAGATAAAAAATTAGATTGAATTATAACAAATCTTATCTGTTTTTGAAGTTTTTTGAAAAAGGTTTGATTCAAAATCCAATTTTTTATCCAAAAACTCTTAGCGTTAACTTACCATGAACAAAAACGCTAAATTCATAACGTTCATTCCACAAACTACACGCAATTAACCACAGATATTTCCAAACTAGATAACATTTTTGCGAAAAAAGTAGACATTTCCTTACAAAAGACCAAAGAATTTCGATATTCTTAAAATTCTCTCACCATAAAACCTTACCATTGGTGTTCGTTATACTAATATATTGTACTCTATACCCAATGTTAAAACATAGCTTGGTGACCGAATGTTCTATTCACTATCTTAAAACATGGGGGTCACCACGGACACCCCCCCCCCCCCCCCACCTTAACCTCCAACATCTTCTAATAATGTGGATTCCTGCATCTGAAGTTGTTCTGGCATAGATAACCACTCCATAAGCCATCTCGGATTCATCGCAGAAGAGATGAAGATAGACTTGCTGAAAGCTGTCCTTGGCCAAGTAACGAGGTTCTAGCGGGGAAGACAAAATTTTTAAGCTATCCATCCAGTGTTGGAATTGGTTCGCTATAAGTGCCCCAACATCGTCATCCCATTCCAAATCCCCCTCGGATTGGTTAAATTGGGCACAAAAGATGAAAAACTCGTTTTTGACTCAGTTTCATGTGTAGTCGCGTTGAAGCAATCTTGATAAATGCAACTGACAAAGATTTATTGCTCTTTGTTTTCTTTTTCAGCCTTTTTCAAACATCCGGAGTTGACAGAGTGCGATTTGGGACCTCGTGAAATCGGTCTTTATTTAATTTGATCATTGACAAAAATCTAAGCGAATCATTGGGTATCTGCTGGGGTCCGAATGCACCAGGTCCTGGTTTCTAGATGTTCCTCTTTCCTTGTCACCTGGGAGGCTGCACTCGGACACATTTTTGACTCTTTCGGCAACAACTGGAATTGCTTCAAAATCAACACTCGAGACTTTTACTGGCTTGATGAGGTTTGCAGTGCCTTGGGGCATGCCTATAGGCTTCAATGAGTCCAATTTATCCATACACCGGTACTGGAAACAATCAGAAACTGGATGCCAAGTTTTGACGCTGTGGTCATTTTCTGCTAAAACTAACTCCTTGTTTTCCTGCAAATTGTCGGGTATATCGCTCATGATAAGCTTGCTGTTGAGAGATTACTTCCAAAATACTTCTTGATTTTGTCATAGAACCCCTCTGATTTGTTGATTGCAACCTCACCGTAGCTTGTCAGTCTGGTTCATGTGTCTTAATTTGATCGAAATTTCGGATACACTCGAGTTCGTTGGATTAGTGTTGGGATTCTGGAGACGGAGGAATATCTTCAACTTCCCAGAATCTGTTAAATGTGGTGGAGTGGCTGTCAAGAAAGTTAAATCCATATCATGGCGAGTGTATTCGTGTTGTGACTGTGTGGTCGGTATCAGCGACACCTGAGACTGTCCAGCCAAGGATCGTGTCGGTTTTCAGCTACTGTGAGCTTTCTTTTTAGTGTTGAGAGCTTTATAATCTATGACTTAAATGTAACTTGGTTCTGAGCTCAATTTAAAATTTAATATTTTGAGTGAAAATTGTGGAAAAATCCATATTTTTTTAATCAAAATTTTGTATCATTGTCTCAACATGAGTCCAATTAAAATAGAATTTGGGCTTTATTCTCAATTCTGCACAGAATGAAACAAGGACATTTTACAACTAGATTAGATCTGATGCGACAAAGCACTAACCAAAAGCTGAGATTTCTGCAATTTTTTCCAAAAAATCAAAATTTTTGCAATTTTTTCCAAATACTTGAAATTTTTGCGTTTTTTTTCTCCAAAAACCGTGTTTTTTTTTCAACGTTTTAGTAGGTTTCAGCATATTTTCAGGTAGATGTTTAAAAAAAAAAGAGTAGATAAAAAATTAGATTGAATTATAACAAATCTTATCTGTTTTTGAAGTTTTTTGAAAAAGGTTTGATTCAAAATCCAATTTTTTATCCAAAAACTCTTAGCGTTAACTTACCATGAACAAAAACGCTAAATTCATAACGTTCATTCCACAAACTACACGCAATTAACCACAGATATTTCCAAACTAGATAACATTTTTGCGAAAAAAGTAGATATTTCCTTACAAAAGACCAAAGAATTTCGATATTCTTAAAATTCTCTCACCATAAAACCTTACCATTGGTGTTCGTTATACTAATATATTGTACTCTATACCCAATGTTAAAACATAGCTTGGTGACCGAATGTTCTATTCACTATCTTAAAACATGGGGGTCACCACGGACACCCCCCCCCCCCACCTTAACCTCCAACATCTTCTAATAATGTGGATTCCTGCATCTGAAGTTGTTCTGGCATAGATAACCACTCCATAAGCCATCTCGGATTCATCGCAGAAGAGATGAAGATAGACTTGCTGAAAGCTGTCCTTGGCCAAGTAACGAGGTTTTAGCGGGGAAGACAAAATTTTTAAGCTATCCATCCAGTGTTGGAATTGGTTCGCTATAAGTGCCCCAACATCGTCATCCCATTCCAAATCCCCCTCGGATTGGTTAAATTGGGCACAAAAGATGAAAAACTCGTTTTTGACTCAGTTTCATGTGTAGTCGCGTTGAAGCAATCTTGATAAATGCAACTGACAAAGTTTTATTGCTCTTTGTTTTCTTTTTCAGCCTTTTCGAACGTCCGGAGTTGACAGAGTGCGATTTGGGACCTCGTGAAGTCGGTCTTTATTTAATTTGATCATCGACAAAAATCTAAGCGAATCATTGGGTATCTGCTGGGGTCCGAATGCACCAGGTCCTGGTTTCTAGATGTTCCTCTTTCCTTGTCACCTGAAAGGCTGCACTCGGCCACATTTTTGACTCTTTCGGCAACAACTGGAATTGCTTCAAAATCAACACTCGAGACATTTGCTGACTTGATGAGGTTTGCGGTGCCTTGGGGCATGCCTATAGACTTCACTGAGTCCAATTAATCTATACACCGGTACTGGAAACAATCAGAAAATGGATGCCAAATTTCGACGCTGTGGTCCTTTTCTGCTAAAAATAATTCTTTGTTTTCCCGCAATTCGTCGGGTATATCGCTCATGACAAGCTTGCTGTTGAGAGATTACTTCCAAATGTGCATGCAGGCTTTATCCAGAGCGTCTGTGAGAATCTGGCGCAATCTGATGTCTTGTTCCTCAGTATCTGCACCACCAATTTACTCGTCCACGTAGAAGGACAAGGACTCACGAAATCCTAGCTTTGTTTGTTCATCTTCTGTTGTGCCGGCGGTGTGTAACAAGACTCGTATGGCGTGATAGCTACTTGAAGCTATACCGTAGATGGCACAGGTCATCGGGTACTTCTCAATTGAATCTTCTTCTTCTCTTGTCCAGTAGAGCTGATGTAGATTTCTGTCTTTAGGGAATAGTTCTATTTGCCTGTACATCTTGGTGATGTCACCAGATAGTGCAATTTTGTAGAATCGAAACCGGACAAGGTTGTGAAAGAGGTCTGGCCGATTCTTTGGACCAACCAGTAGACGATCGTTCAACGACTTTCCTTTCGAAATTGGAGCTGATCCTTTGAAAACAGCTCTGCCTTTTGTTGTTGTTGAGTCCGACTTCCAAACTGCATGATGAGGCATGATGGAGTTTTTCTCGCCTGACAGATATTGATCTGACACAGGTATTATCTCGGTACGGCCAGTGTCAATCATCTCATGAAAGAAGTCGTTGTTTATCCTTCCATTAGAAATGAATTGCCGGAAAGCTTTGCGTGCTTAGTGACCAATATCGGGCAAGCATACATGATTGATTTATTATGTGTCATGGATCCCCTGTGATTTGTGGATTGCAACCTCACCGTAGCTTGTCCGTCTGGTTCATATGTCTTATATTGATCGAAATGTCGGATACACTCAAGTTCGTTAGATTCAATTGTGTTGGGCTTGTCGAAAACTGGATCTGCAAGTTGTAGTTGCTGACCTTTTGTAGGTCTGTGGCTGTAACTTGGGTGTTTGGATGCTCGTGATCCGTGATGTTTTCCAACACCACACAACAAACTTTGAAATTTTTTTTACCAGATTTTGTTGGAATTGTGAGAGTCATTCGACATTGGGTAGACATTGGGTTCTACTGGTTCTCTCTAATAATGCGATATGGAGTTTCTGTTGTTTTGATGCCAAGCCGTTGCATAAATTGTAGGGTGATGACGATCGTCTGAGCACAATTGTCAATGAGCGCCCTCAAGTGATGAATTTGACCGTTCTGAGATCGAACTTAGACGTTTTCCGTTGGAAGAACTGTGAGAGTTCCAGTTCGGTTGATTTGGAGAGCATCTATTGTCGCCGCAACATTGGAATTGCTTCAAAATAAGCACTCGAGACTTTTACTATACTTGAGGTTCGCAGTGCCTTGGGGCATGCCTATAGGCTTCACTGAGTCCAATTTATTCATACACCGGTACTGGAAACAATCAGAAACTGGATGCCAAGTTTTGACGCTGTGGTCATTTTCTGCTAATACTAACTCCTTGTTTTCCTGCAAATTGTCGGGTATATCGCTCATTACAAGCTTGCTGTTGAGAGATTACTTCCAAAATACTTCTTGATTTTGTCATAGAACCCCTCTGATTTGTTGATTGCAACCTCACCGTAGCTTGTCAGTCTGGTTCATGTGTCTTAATTTGATCGAAATGTCGGATACACTCGAGTTCGTTGGATTAGTGTTGGGATTCTGGAGACGGAGGAATATCTTCAACTTCCCAGAATCTGTTAAATGTGGTGGAGTGGCTGTCAAGAAAGTTTAATCCATATCATGGCGAATGTATTCGTGTTGTGACTGTGTGATCGGTATCAGCGACACCTGAGACTGTCCAGCCAAGGATCGTGTCGGTTTTCAGCTACTGTGAGCTTTCTTTTTAGTGTTGAGAGCTTTATAATCTATGACTTAAATATAACCTGGTTCTGAGATCAATTTAAAATTTAATATTTTGAGTGAAAATTGTGGAAAAATCCATATTTTTTTAATCAAAATTTTGTATCATTGTCTCAACATGAGTCCAATTAAAATACAATTTGGGCTTTATTCTCAATTCTGCACAGAATGAAATAAGGACATTTTACAACTAGATTAGATCTGATGCGACAAAGCACTAACCAAAAGCTGAGATTTCGGCAATTTTTTCCAAAAAATCAAAATTTTTGCAATTTTTTCCAAATACTTGAAATTTTTGCATTTTTTTTCTCCAAAAACCGTGTTTTTTTTCGACGTTTTAGTAGGTTTCAGCATATTTTCAGGTAGATGTTTTAAAAAAAAGAGTAGATAAAAAATTAGACTGAATTATAACAAATCTTATCTGTTTTTGAAGTTTTTTGAAAAGTGTTTGTTTCAAAGTCCAATTTTTTATCCAAAAACTCTTAGCGCTAACTTACCATGAACAAAAACGCTAAATTCATAACGTTCATACCACAAACTACACGCAATTAACCAGAGATATTTACAAACTAGATAACACGCGCCGAGATTTTTGCAAAAAAAGTAGACATTTCCTTACAAAAGACCAAAGAATTTCGATATTCTTAAAATTCTCTCACCATAAAACCTTACCAATGGTGTTCGTTATCCTAATATATTGTACTCTATACCCAATGTTAAAACATAGCTTGGTGACCGGATGTTCTATTCACTATCTTAAAACATGGGGGTCACCACGGACACCCCCCCCCCCCCCCTCACCTTAACCTCCAACATCTTCTAATAATTGGGATTCCTGCATCTGAAGTTGTTCTGGCATAGATAACTACTCCATAAGCCATCTCGGATTCGTCACAGAAGATATGAAGATAGACTTGCTGAAAGCTGTCCTAGGCCAAGTAACGAGGTTCTAGCGGGGAAGACAAAAGTTTTAAGCTATCCATCCAGTGTTGGAATTGGTTCGCTATAAGTGCCCAAACATCGTCATCCCATTCCAAATCCCCATCCTAATTTTTTTTGGAATAGAATCTTCGGAATTGTAGTTACAGGGATCAGTAGTCCAAGGGCATCGAAAACTCGCCCCAAAATGCTTACTATCATCCATTGTAGGTGTTCGAATGCTCTCGAGCAAATCTAATGAGCTGCTCTGAAACAATGTAGATGAGCTTCTGTGGGTCTTTCTTTTCTTTTTAGCGCAATTTAGGTGATGTTTTTTGTCCGGAAACTTCTTGGGCATGGTTTAAACGCGTCCTTGTTCTTTTTGGGGAATTGGCTTTTGAATTTTCCGTCGAAACTGACCACATTATGGCTCCTGTGAAATCGGCTTGATTTTTGCGAAACGTTTTTGTAGGAGGCATCTAGATAGTACCTGTCAGTGGGACAAGCCTGTGAAGTGTGCTGATACCAGTTATGTTTTCAATTTTTGATTTTTTTGGTCAAAAAACTATGTCCAAAAATGGCCACTTTTTGGTTAAATTGGGCACAAAAGATGAAAAACTCATTTTTGACTCAGTTTCATGTGTAGTCGCAGTGAAGCAATCTTGATAAATGCAACTGACAAAATTTTGTTGCTCTTTGTTTTCTTTTTCAGCCTTTTTCAAACGTCCGGAGTTGACAGAGTGCGATTTGGGACCTCGTGAAATTGGTCTTTATTTAATTTGATCATTGACAAAAATCTAAGCGAATCATTGGGTATCTGCTGGGGTCCGAATGCAGCAGGTCCTGGTTTCTAGATGTTCCTCTTTCCTTGTCACCTGAAAGGCTGCACTCGGCCACATTTTTGACTCTTTCGGCAACAACTGGAATTGCTTCAAAATCAACACTCGAGACTTTTGCTGACTTGATGAGGTTTGCGGTGCCTTGGGGCATGCCTATAAGCTTCACTGAGTCCAATTAATCCATACACCGGTACTGAAAACAATCAGAAAATGGATGCCAAATTTCGACGCTGTGGTCGTTTTCTGCTAAAAAAATAATTCTTTGTTTTCCTGCAATTTGTGTCGGGTATATCGCTCATGACAAGCTTGCTGTTGAGAGATTACTTCCAAATGTGCATGCAGGCTTTATCCAGAGCGTCGGTGAGACTCTGGCGCAGTCTGATGTCTTGTTCCTCAGTATCTGCACCACCAATTTACTCGTCCACCTAGAAGGACTCACGAAATCCTAGCTTTGTCTGTTCATCTTCTGTTGTGCCGGCGGTGTGTAACAAGACTCGTATGGCGTGATAGCTACTTGAAGCTATACCGTAGATGGCACAGGTCATCGGGTACTTCTCAGTTGAATCTTTTTCTTCTCTTGTCCAGTAGAGCTGATGTAGATTTCTGTCTTTAGGGAATAGTTCTATTTGCCTGTACATCTTGGTGATGTCATCAGATAGTGCAATTTTGTAGAATCAGAACCGGACAAGGTTGTGAAAGAGGTCTGGCCGTTTCTTGGGACCAACCAGTAGACAATCGTTCAACGATTTTCCATTCGAAATTGGAGCTGATCCTTTGAAAACAGCTCTGCCTTTTGTTGTTGTTGAGTCCGACTTCCAAACTGCATGATGAGGCATGATGAAGTATTTCTCGCCTGACAAAAATTGATCTGACACAGGTATTATCTCGGTACGGCCAGTGTCAATCATCTCATGAAAGAAGTCGTTGTTTATCCTTCCATTAGAAATGAATTGCCGGAAAGCTTTGCGTGCTTAGTGACCAATATCGGGCAAGCATACATGGTTGATTTATTATGTGTCATGGATCCCCTGTGATTTGTGGATTGCAACCTCACCGTAGCTTGTCCGTCTGGTTCATATGTCTTATATTGATCGAATTGTCGGATACACTCAAGTTCGTTGGATTCAATTGGGTTGGGCTTGTCGAAAACTGGATCTGCAAGTTATAGTTGCTGACTTTTTGTAGGTCTGTGGCTGCAACTTGGGTGTTTGGATGCTCGTGATCCGTGATGTTTTCCAACACCACACAACAAACTTTGAAATTTTTACCAGATTTTGTTGTAATTGTGAGAGTCATTCGACATTGGGTAGACATAGCGTTCTACTGGTTCTCTCTAATAATGCGATATGGAGTTTCTGTTGTTTTGATGCCAAGCCGGTGCATAAATTGTAGGGTGATGACAATCGTCTGAGCACAATTGTCAATGAGCGCCCTCAAGTGATGAATTTGACCGTTCTGAGATTGAACTTAGACGTTTTCCGTTGGAAGAACTGTGAGAGTTCCAGTTCGGTTGATTTGGAGAGCATCTATTGTCGCCGCGAAATGAGGGCTGGGCTGACTAGAATTGCCATGAAGAATTGTATGATGATTCTTTTGACATGTCTTGTACAGTGTTTTTGAAGGATGAAGCACATCCTAATTCTGGTCATGAAATTCTTTCTTTTTGATGTTATCATTGATCTGTAATTCGTACGCTGACATACTGGGTATCGCTCTTGGCAGGTTTGAACTTTACACTGTGAGAAAGAGAACCCATTCTTATGAGATCAGTTATTTTCTGTCAAGAACATCTGCAGCTCACGCTCTGGCTTACGGGGTCTGGAGTTAGATCCTTCAACCACCTCTAGAGACCTGACTCTGTTGTCTAAGAACAGCATGAGTCGATCAAAGTCAAGAACTTCAGTCCCATCGTTTGTAGTTTTCCATGCCTTCTGAGATTCAAGATCGAGATTCTTTAACAGAAGGAAATGCTACAAATCGTTTTCTACTGATCTCCGAGTGCCTTGATAGACTGCGAAGTCTCT